CGTTGCCGTGTCGGAGACGAGGGCCCTAGTGGGCCAGCAGCCGCAGGACATGAAGCCCAAAGCACAGGCTGGTGCCTTGCCGTAAGGACAGGACCCCTGCCAAGGACTGCAAGGCACAAGGRGCGTCCTGCCCATCCGCAGCCAACAAGAGGCCCCAGGCAAGCTCCGGCCTCTCACCACGCCACAGCTTCCGCCCTCTCTCCCCGTCCCAAGCAGCCCCAGCAGCCAGCGCAGCACGGAGGAACCGCCAGCAGCTGAGCTGTGCTGCAGGAAGAGGCCGAGGAGCAGCGAGCAAAAGCACGTCCCACTCACCTGGTTCTCAAAGCACGGAGGCAGGAGAAGTGGATGGGAGAGTGGGGAGTCTGAGCAGCTTTTATAGTGCTCCTGCACTGCCCCGGGCCCAGAGTCACCCAGTTCCTTGGCACTCCTTTTCCAGCACACTCACCTCAAATGCAAAATAGCTTTAGCTCACGGAATGGGTGTTTTTTGTTTTCCCTTCAATAAAGTAGCCTCTTCATTTCCTCTTTGCTGGCACGCCCGTTTTGCCACAAAGGCTGCTTTTAATACCAGAAATATAGATCAAGGATTTCCAGCGGTAGAACATGGCAATATGGTCAGAATTCATCACCCAAGTGCTGGAAAGATTTCCTCACTGGAAGTAATGTCTGATTGTTGGAGGAGAAGTGCAAGATTGAGATTCAATACACCAATGGGGAGCTCTGGACTATCTTCCTATGTGCATCTGAATTATTCTTTGATTGAGAAGCTTCTTGGAGAAGGCAACAGCTCAGTCCCATGGGTGAGCCTTTGGGTTAAGGAAACACAAAATAAAATCCTGCTGATGATCATAATGGTCAGACCATCCTGCTCTATGTTATGCATCAGTTGTAATGAGAAAAAATTACTGCAGGAGTCTGTATCCAGGTACACATATCCATTCCTTGTCAGATTAATCTATTTCACATTTCTGGAAGCATTTTTGTACTTATGTTTACAGATAAAAAATAGGAAGAAGAGAAAAGAAGGAGGGACTGAGGGAGAAGGCACAGAAGAGAAGAGACTATTTTCAGCTCTGTGCAAAATGGTTCCCAAAATCTCATATAGAGGGAGGAAAAAAAAAAAAAAGGCTATTTTTTTGTGCCAAATCACCTAGGCTGTCGCACAAGGCATCCAGACACAGGAAGAACAGGAATGCGATCAGAAGTAGTTACCATAGATTTACAAAAGGTAAACTGCATTTAACCAACCTCATATGAGGTGGACTGGCTTTGATGGATGAGGAGAGAGAACTGAATGTTGTTTGTCTCAGCTTTGGCAAAGCTTTTGACACAATCTGCCATGACATCCTAATGGCCCAACTAATGAAGTACAGGCTAGAAAGTTGCAGTGAAAACACCTGGACTGCTGGGCCCAGAGATCAGCAGCACATAGGCCAGGTGGAGGCAAGTAACAAGTGATGTCAAGAGACCAGCCCTGTTTAAGGTCTTCACCAGTGATGAAGGATGAGGGTACAGGGCACACCTGCAGCAAGTCTACAGGTGACACATATCTGGAAGGAGTCACTGATTCCTCAGAGAGTTGTGCTGCCCTTGAGATGGACCTTGACAGACTAGGCAATGGGCAGAGTGCAGTCTGCTGCGCAGTCAGCGTCCTGACGTTCATCAAAGGGAAGTGCCAGTCCTTCATCTGGAGAGGAACAAACCCATGCACCAGTATTGACTGGGAGCCAACCTCCCAGAAAGCACCTTTGCAGAGAAGAACTTTGCAGTCCTGATGAACTAGTTGAACATAGACCTACAATGCATCGTCACAGCAAAGAAGGCCAAAGGCACCGTTGAATACGTTAGGAATGGTGTTTTCAGCAGGTCAAGGAAGGTGATCCTGCCACTTTTCTGAGCACCAGTATGGCCATATCTGGAGTTCTGTGTCCTGTTCTGAGTTCCCCAGTAAAAGACATGAAAAACATGGACTAACTGAAGCAAGTCCAAGCAAATGGACACAGAGATGATTAAAGGATTGGAGCATCTCTCCTATTTGGAGAGGCTGAGAGAGCAGGGCAGAGTGAGATGAAGAAGGCTCAGGGCCTGGTTATCATTATGGAAGAGACCAAAGAAGATGGCCGAGACTCTTCTCACTGGTGCCCATCAACACGATGAAAGTCAATAGGCATAAACTGAAAGAAAAAATTCCATCTGAACATAAGATTTTGTTCCCTGTAAGGGTCACTGAACACTCGAGGAGGTGATGCAGAGAGGTTATGGAGTCTTCATCCTTGGAGATATTCAAACCCCAGTTGAACATGGTCCTGGACACCCTGCTCTAGCTTGAGCAGACAGGTTAGACCTGATGATCTCCAGGAGTCCCTTCCAGCCTGAAGGTGCAGGGCTCTGCAACACCGACCAACAGTAAAACGTCATTTTTGTTTTGTTTTGTAGTGAGGACCCCTCACTACAAGAAAGACATTGAGGTGCTGGAATGTGTCCAAAGAAGGGCAATGAAGCTGGTGAATAGTTTGGAGCGCAGAATTTATGAGTGACTGAGGGAGCTGGGGCTACTTACTCTGCAGAAGAAGCTGTCCACAGTGACGCTATGGCTCTCTACAATTACCTGGAAGGAGGTTGTAGTGAGGCAGGGGTTGACCTCTTCTCCAAAAGAACTACACGTAGGACAAGAGGAAATGGCCTCAAGTTGAACTATGGGAGGTTCAGGTTGGATATTAGGAAAAATTTCTACACAGAAGAATTTTCTACACAAAAAGAGTACTGAAGCATTGGAAGAGGCTGTCCAGGGAAGTGATGCAGTCACCATCCCTGGCAGTGTTCAAGAAATGTGTAGATAAGACACTTAGGGACATGGTTTAGCAGGTATGGTGGTGAAGGGCTTATGGTTGGACTTGATCATCTTGAAGGTCTTTTCCAAACATACCGATTCAAGGATTTTTCCAACTTTCACTGAATTCTAAGGCATGGCAGAGAATAAACGCTCAAGGGCAAGGTCTGAAAGTCCACCTCAACTCGAGGCAGTTTCCTTTCCACAGAGCCCTCGAGGCAGCAGACAGTGCAGGACCGTGGAGCATCGCTTTGGGCAGCTGGGAAGGGCGCCACTGCTGTTCTGCATCTGGGTCCGCCAGGGCTGCCCGGCTTCATCCTGTGCTGCCCGAGCCTCCTGCCGGGCTCGCCGGGCTCGGAGCCTTCGTGCTGCGAGCCACGACAGGACCGCGGTGCGCTCGGGGTGCCCGCGCTCCCCGGCAGCGCGGGAGAAGATGGCGGCGGGCGGCTGGGGGAAGGGGACACGAGCAGGACTGCGACGGGAGGGGCGGGGCCCAGCGGGCCTGGTTTCCTCGGCAACCGCCCCCCCTTACCGGGCCGGTTGCCTAGGAAACGGCCCGCGCATGCGCGTTGGCAGCCCGGCGCACGCGGCCGCTCGGCGCTGAGGTGGCGCCGGCCATGGAGGTGGAGGAGGAGTTCGGTGAGCGGCGCGGGCGGGCAGGGCTCGTCCCCTGCCGCGGCCGCCTCCCGGAGCGCTCCGTGGCGCGCGGAGGCACGTGCGGCGGGACGGGGTCCGGGCACCCCCGGCCGGGCTCTGCGCGAGGCGGCCGCCGCGGATCCCTGCGTGTGCCCGCGTCCAGCGCGGCTCCCGCGTCAGGCCCGCCAGGGGTGCCCGCGGGGTCTGGCGCCTAGGAAGCCTGGGCATCGAGTTTATGTGGAGCGTTTTTTACCTGCTAGGGTTGTTCTCTTGTGCCCTGTACCGTGGTGAGGTTCCCATTCTCTCTCCAGTTCTCATCCTTGCCCCCTTCTTCCTCCTCTGATCCTCTGCAGAGCCAGTTCAGGGAGGAAAACCACTCCTGGTTGCTCCTCTGTGGGCAGCTGAGCCAGGACAAGGCTTGTTGGACCTCCAAACGAGGAGAGAGGCTCTAGTTTTCAGCAGTTGTAATGAACCACATTGGCGAAGGGAGGCTGGCGTGCTGGTGGGTGGCAGAGCTGCAAACAGAAACACCCCAGCGCTTCCTGTGGTTTTCCTGCTGTTTGTGGCTCAGTGCCTGTATTTTCAGGGCTTTTAGAAATTCTGAAAGCTTCTGAACTCCTGAATCATTTAATGACTTTGGAAAACATAACTTTGACGTGCCCCGTGGTAGGCATGCTGCTTCCTCAGAAATGAAACTGAATTTTCTGGTGTCTTGCCTCCAGCAAAATTAGTTTTTGGGTGGAAAAGATTCCGTTCAGAGCAGCAGTGCTCTCAAGGGCCCGGTGCGTGTGCTGTCATGCTGCTGGTTCTCCTTGGGTGGTAAGTTAGCTGCAGGGCCACCCTCCTCGTTCCCCTTGGGGGGCTGTGGACACCCAGCTAATAAGGAGACTTCAGGAGTTGTTGTGCTCCATGCTGCTGGCTATTCTGTGCCACTTTTGACTTGCATCCCAGTCACATTCAGTTTCACAATGAATCTATTTATGTTTCAAGGTAAGAGCATCTGTTTTAGCTTTAATTCCCTAAGGGCACAGCTCAGATGTACTCTTTTTTTTTTTTCCCCACTGAGTTAATAATGTTGCTGGATCTCATTTGTTTTCTGTTTATTTTGTTTTCTCACTCTTCTTATATCCTACTAGATATTTTGGATCCAGAAAGATTAGTGCAATGCCCGTATGATAAGCACCATCGAATCAGAGCCCGCCGTTTTCCCTATCACCTTGTAAAATGCAGGAAGGTAAGTGAAACTGCTCAGCAAGGCGCTGAATGCTGCTAGTTGTGTGTGTGTGTCAGTGAGACCCGTCTGGCTGAAGTAACTTTGTGTCGCGTAGCTTCGTTTAGCCCTTATTTTGTAATTTTTAAGTGGTTCCCTCAATTATAACTTCAAACGCACATTAATTCACATGACACCAGTGTGGCTGTGCTGAAAAGAAATAGGTTCTGTACAGGTGGGTCAAGGAGAAAATCTTGCAGCTCACACAGAGGTCACGTGAATTGTTTGCAGTTTGGGGAGAGAATGCAGACATTACATGCACCTTTTCAAGCAGGGCAGAGCAGAGATAATTTACTGTTGCATTTCTTTCTAATTTTCAGTGCCAGAGCCTAGCAGCTTCCTTCATTACTGCTAATAACTATTTATCGTCCATCCGACAGAAACTGCTAGCCTTTGATTTAGCACCTATGGGAGTTTCCCCCGCCATCCTCAACATTTATCCAGAATTTGAATATGAATCATATAATAGGATACTCTCCTGTCTCCTCATCTGTGTCCTAAAGGGTTTTGTTTGGTTGATTTTTAACCTGCCATGGATTTTGCAAGTAGAAGGGAAGGCAGAGAGCTTTGGGTCTTTGATAAAGACTTTTAAAAAACCAGTTGTTTCCCCGTAAGTTTGCCAGTATGTTTTTAAAGTACTATAGCAGTGTTGTATCCTCTAGTGAGGATGCAGGTGTGCAGTGTATGCATTGATACTAGTACTTACAACTAATTCGTTTTGAGGGAGCAGGTAGTTTTTAAAATGAGATCTCAAAAGTCTTTTGCTAATCAATGGAGAAGACGGGGTAAGTGTACGTCGTGGGTCCTGCACATGTTCTGGGTTTGTTTTGCCTAGAGCTACCCTCAGGTTGCAGAGGAGTTGTCCACGTGCCCCTTCAACGCCCGCCACCTGGTTCCTCAAGCCGACCTGCGTGATCACATATCAAATTGCAATGACAAGCGGTTCATTGAGGAAGAAATAGGTAAGAGAGCCACCCACTTGTTCACACTTGGTAGTGATCCCTTGTTTGTAAGGAGTGCTCCGAGAATAACTGGAAAACAGGAAGGCCAGTGTTGTTTGTTCTCCGTCCCAGTGAAACTGGCTGGAGGGTGTTTGCAAAACTCGCACATTACTTAGGCAACCTGCATTATGCAGTGTCGTTTTTGTCCCCTATAATTACTAAGTATCTTCTGCAACATTATAGTGTTTTTGCAACGAATGTAGAGCTGCCCTGAGTCTATTGGTGATGCTTCCCTTTATGGAAGCAAGATTCCTATCTGCTCAAGCACTTCTACCACAAAATCTCAGGCACCAGAGACTTTTGATCCCAAATGCTTCATACTTCTGAAGCTGGATTGACTATAGTCATCAGATTTTCTCTCTCCCTGAAGCGAGTGAGGCCAACGACTTCCAGAGAAGGCAGATGAATTCTGTGAGCACATGGCAGGCACCTCCATGCGATGAAGACTGGGATACAGGTGAGTACCTTGCACATCTGCCTTCACTTCTCATCAGAGAATCACAGAATGGTTAAGATTGGAAGGGACTCCTAGAGATCATCTAGTCCAACCACCCTGCTCAAGCAGGGACACCCAGAGGACGTGGCACAGGGTCGCATCCAGGCCAGTGTGGAAGAACTCTAAAGAAGGAGACTCCACAGTCTCCCTGGGCAACCTGTTCCAGAACTCTGTCACCCTCACAGCAAAGAAGTTCTTCCTCTTATGGGGATGGAACTGTCTGGGTTCAGCTTGTACCCATTGCCCCTTGTCCTATCACCGGCCACCACTGAGAAGAGTTTGGCCCCATCCTCTTTACATCCTCCCCTCAGGTGTTTTATACATATAGAGGCTTTTGGCAATATAGAGGCTCTGTGCCACATATAGAGGCATATGTACATATAGAAGCTCTGTGCAATGATGAAAATGAATGGATAGTGACCTTTAGTTTCCTTGGTTAAATGACACAAGCCAAATGCATCTGTCCTGCATTAGATCCATTCTTACTTCCTCCTGAGCGTGTAGAAATAGGACAAAGACACTGCTCGTCTGCTGGGAGGGTTCTTGGTTCTGAGCCGCAACTTGTGTTTCCTTTTGCAGAGTCACTGGAGCACTCGACTTCTCCGTTTGTTCAGGGCATGGCAGACTATGGCATAAACGGGTAAGGGGGGCAGTTGGGTTTCTTACAGCCTTGTTTTGTAAAGATGAATATTGCAAAGATGAATACTCAGTTGCTGGCCATGGGCTGCTGTAACTGCACGGTCTGGCTGCTGGACATGTGCCTATGCTCCTCAATCCTAAGGACTGAGATAATGGGGCTGTCTGGCTTTGCATAATACAGCTACATTTTCTCAAAAGCTTTTCAGTAGTATTGGAGCATATAGCTGTTCTAAGTACTGCACAGTTTAAGCAGCCCACAACCCCAGACTCACAGAATCATTCTGGTCTGATGGAACCTCTGCTCCATCCCCCTGCACAAGCAGGGTCACCTAGAGCACACTGTACAGGATGGTGTACAGGTGAATTTTGAATAGCTCCTGAGAAGGAGAATCCACGGTCTCTCTGAGCAACCTGTTCCCAGGCTATGTCCTGTTCACAGCGAAGAATTTTTTCAATATTTTCAGATGGAATTTCTTATGTTTAAGTTTGTGCATGTTGCCTCTTGTCCTGTGGCTGGGCACCAGTGAAAATAGGCTGGCCCCATTTGGACAGCCTCCCTTAAGAAATCAGTGCACACTGATGACATCCCCTCTCAGTCTTTCCCTCTGCAGGCTCAACAGGCCCAGCTGACTCAGCCTTTCCCCGTAGGAGAGCTGCGTCAGGCCTCTCCTCATCCTCACAGTCCTGTACAAGACTGTCTCTAGTAGTTCCAGGTCTCTCTTGTACTGGGGAGCCCAGAGTTGGATGCGGGATACCCCATGTGGCGTCATCAAGGCTGAGTAGAGGCTGAGGATCACCTCACATGCCCTGCTGGCAAGACTCTTCCTATGGCACCCCAGGAGAGCAGTGGCTTTCCTGGCTACAAGGACACATTGCTCCCTTACAGCTAGCTTGTTCTCCATGAGCACCCACAGGTCCTTTTCCATAGAGCTGCTCTCCAGCAGGTCAACCCCCAACCTGTGCTGGTGCCTGGGATTCTTTCTCTCTTAGGGCAGTACCATGCACTTCACTTTCTTGAACTTCATGAGGTGCCCCTCTGCCCAGCTCTCCAGCCTGTGCATGACTGTGGATGGCAGCCCATCCCCTGGGTGGTGTATCCACCCTGGAGTAGCCTCCCCTCGAGCCCCTGCTCTCCTCAATGCAGTGTAAAATGCACCACTTCAAACAAACAGGTTTGCTGGAAGAACTGACTGAAGTTTTTGTGTTTCAGCACCACCTTGGAACGTAAGAGCTACCTGCCTCCAGGTTTACGTGCCCCCAAGTCATCTCCATATGCCATGGCAAGGAAGGCTGTAAGTAATGTGTGTGAGTGGCCTGGGCACTGTGACTTTTGCAGATGACCGCAGCTTTATGGCCACTGCTGCGGACAGCAAGGGTGCTGTGCAGAGGCCTCCTTGAGAGCAGCTTTCTAGGTACTCTCCTCCATAGATCATTCTCTGCAACCTTTCTTTGAGGCATCTTCTGTGTGCTTTTCCTTGTTCCATAGTCTTGAGAGACCTGACTTACAGGGGTGCCAACTTAAGCAGCCCCACTGCCCCACCAGTTTAACTCTGTCTGTAAACAGGTGCCTCCAAGTTACCCAAATTACACTCTCCCTTCCCTGCTCTTTAACCCAGATCATTTTCTTGCTTTGTGCAGCTGCACTTAATATCAGACCTAGCTAAACCAGGGCAGGGGTGTAGCTAGCACTGCTTAAGATGACACTACTGTAGAGAAGAGGGGGGCAAAGGATATTTTGGGCTGCATGAGAAGGCGGCGTGGTGAGAGCCTCTCTTGCTGGAGTGCCAGGCAGTGAGATCATCAACACTAGCAGCGAAAGAAGGGGGCTTTGAAGGATAAGTGGCTGTTTCCCACTTCGAGTAACTAAAGCTGACATTCACAAGTCTACAGCCACGACTGCACAAGTGAGATCCCTGCACAGCAAGGTAGTGCCAGCAAAGCCCTGGCAGGGTCTGGGATAGTGGCAAATGCTGCTTTCCTGACAGTTTGTCTCTTTGAATCCCGGTTTCAAAGGATGGAATAATTTACACGAGTAGTTGCTGAGCATGTCCGGCAGAACCTCTGCCTGTGTTAAGATGTTACCTAAATGACAGTGCTCTGCCACCAAAGCCTGCAGGTCAAATGCTAGCCAGCTCTGTTGTTGTTTCGAAAGCCATGAGGAATTTTTCTGCCTTTGTGACCGCTTGTTTAAAGTTGTCCATATGGTTGAGATGTGCGTGCTGTTTGGCCCTGTTGTTTGCAAGGGTGTTGCATCTGTGTGTTAAACCATGAAACCCTTTTGCCAGCATTGCAGCAAGCTGTGGAGATTTCAGCTGAGGGTGCAGTTCACTTGATTCAGTTGAAGTGTGGTTCATTTTTCCCCAGTGAGCTGCTTTTTGGAGAGCAGGCGAGTGAGTTTCCCCAGGCACTTAGAGTGTGTGTTTGAGCTGTGTCTTGCCTTCCCTTGTTTCGTCTGCCTTTTAGCATCATCAGGAACTCAGATCTCAAAAGTCGTTTGCTAATCAATGGAGAAGACGGGGTAAGTGTACGTCGTGGGTCCTGCACATGTTCTGGGTTTGTTTTGCCTAGAGCTACCCTCAGG